ACGTAAACATTGCCCTTTCACCATGGAATTATTGTAAAGATTGAACACATATAGATGGTAAAAAATTGTTCAATTATATCTGACCCATGGACAGGCACGACTGTACGGAATTTATTCTGTCTGCAGTTTCATATATTTATGATTCTCTGAAACCTCTTTCTTTCTATGTATAATCAATAAATAAGCCATTTAAAGATCATATTCAAGGCAGAAGACCTAATTTTAACATAAAATCGTCATATTGAGTTTTAAGATTATGAGAAGTTTAAATGCGAAAAACCTAGTTGTATATCGTGTGAATAGATTTTATATAAAAAATTAAAAAAAAAACTTTTTTATATTTCTAATTATAAATATTTATAAAAATCGCTGGAGAATGGAAGAGGATATTAAGCCAGCATCACTGAAATATAAAAAATAAATTTTTCACTGATATCACGTAGATTTAACAGTTCTGTCAATAAAAAAGAGCTGTGACTGTCGATCACAATTTGACCCATTGAACATAACTTTTTAGCCTTTTTTGTCGGCACATGCATTTTGAATGAAAAAGAGTATAGAATAAAAAATTGTTGAATTTAGACCAAAACACGTTTGATTTCAAATATAAAAAACCGAATGCTGCTCACTCTAGTTAGTCCGGGGTGAAATATATATATATATATTATATAGAATACTAGCTTTGTAACCCGGTTTTGCTGGGAGTTTTACCAATAAAAGTCAATCGAGACGTTATAAACTAGATTTAAAACATTCCCGTGGTTCTACCAAGTTTCACAATCAAAATTTGAGGCAAATTGGGGTTTAAGAGTTATGATCGGACATTCAATTAATAAACAAAGAAACAGACAAACTACGCTATATATATGGATATAGTTGAATTCTAACTGAATATTATGTCAGATTCATTATATATACAGTGATAACCAGAAAACAATGGAATAGGAAGACGACATTAAAGCAATACTTAAGTGCATTAGACGTTGTTACAAAGCAAATAGTTTTACTCATACATAGATTAATTAAAATAACAGATAGGACACTATATGTCGTCTTTTCAAGATTTATAAGTATTTCGTTCAAAATAACCCTGAGGCAGGAGCCCAAAGGAGTTACTCGTATTCGGTGTAGTACAGGCTCTCTATCTGTCTTACAATGAACAATTGCTGTGTCTCATGCTTTAAAGTTACAACTTGATTCTAAAAGTCGTCTTCATATTTAAGAGTTTTCTGGTTATTACTTCACATTTTGTTTTGAAAAGAATTATATGTTTAATCGTCTAGAATAATTCCCCCTGAATAATTGGGTTAACTCTCATCTCTTTTAAAGTCCATAGTACAGGGTTACCCACAAAAGATGAAACTGTAAAAACGACCTATAACTCATTAAATATGATGATTCCAAGGTTTATTGATTTGACAAAGAACAAAACAAATTAACAGTTACAGGGAACCATGAATATAAGGAAACAGACAGTACATATTTCGTAAAGTATCAGAAGTCTTATTCTTCGTGGGTAACCCTGCAGTTTATCTATTTAAAAAAGAAGAACATGTCTTATTGCATTGATAACTAGAAAACGCTTATTTAATCAGTAAATTATTGAAACTGGTGTGTTTACACTGCACAATTGCTGTGTCTATATGCTCATTGGATGTTTTAAGGTCATCTTTTTTAAAGTCGTCTTCATATTTCCCAGTTTTCCGGTTATCTCTGGAGTCTGTGTAGGGTTTCCACGAAGTGGCTAAATCTTTTGCGCAAAATTTGCGCTATTTTCGCGCAAATTTTATTTTTGCGAACTTTTGCGCTATTTTTGCGCATGAAACGCAATGAGTTTTGCGCGGTTTTGCGCTATTTATTTTGCGCAATTTGCGCAAAACCGGAAATATTTTTTGCGAAAGTTGCGCATGAAACGAAATTTTAGTTTTGCGCAATTTTTTTTGCGCAATTTGCGCAAAACCGCAAGTTTTTGCGCAAAACCGCAAGTTTTACGCAAAATGTAACTTTTTAGGCACATTGTCAAAAATTGATATTCTAAGCTTAGAATTAAACAACTGAAGATTATTCCATATACAAAAAAAATATTAACATACGAGTATGATAACGATTATACTTCCAGTTACAAAAAGTTTAAATTAAGGGACCAAAATTAATAAAATAGAAATTAGAGAGTGTGAAACTTGGCAATATTTTAAGCCTATTGAATAATTTCAAGTGACCCGGCCTTAAAAGCTTTGCTTAATCATGAGTATGAATTGTATTCTTAAATTTTTTTAATCAAATTTCTGAAATCTTTTTAATCTCATATAAAATAATGCAAGACTGTAACCAATGCCTGAAGAATCCACTTTTAGGAAATATGCATGTCCAAAACTAAAATTGTCGAGAAAATTGTGAGATTTGAACTCTTCTTAATTGTCATTGGTCAATTATGTAAAAGTGACCAATAGGAAGACATTCCAAAACAAGATTTTTCCAGAATTGAATTCTAAGAAACACACACCGTCACCAACCGTTTGATTTTTACGAAATTGCGGATTTGCGCAAAACTCTTGTTACGGAATTGCGCAAAACTTGAGTTTCGCAAAAGCGGAATAGGGCAATTTTGCGCGAAATGACTTTTGCGAATGATTGCGCAAATTGTTGTTTTTTCGCGCAAAATTGATGCGCAAAGAAAGAAAAATATTGCGTTTCGTTCCGCAAAAATTGCGCAAAAGTTTTGCGAATGGAAACCCTAAGTCTGTGGATTCTCATTTGAACTACCGCCGTTTGAACTATGGTACGTTTAAACTATTGTTCGTTTGAACTATTGTTCATTTGAACTACTGACATGACGTCATATCCAATTCAGTTTTAAATTTTTTTTTATAATCTTCATAAAGTTATATTCATGACAATTAATTAGATAAACATTACACAGAATGAACATAAAAATAGTTCAAATGAACATAAAAATAGTTCAAATGAACATAAAAATAGTTCAAAAGAACATAAAAATAGTTCAAATGAACATAAAAATAGTTCAAATGAACATAAAAATAGTTCAAATGAAATAGTTCAAATGAAAAAAAAAATAGTTCAAATGAAAAAAAAAGTTTAAATGGACTAAAAAATAGTTCAAACGGACAAAAAAAATAGTTAGGTTAGGTTAGGTTAGGTTAGGTTAGGTAAAAAATAGTTCAAATTAAACTATTTTTTGTTCATTTCAACTATTTTTTTGTTCATTTGAACTATTTTTTTGTCCATTTAAACTATTTTTTTGTTCATTTGAACTAGTTTTTTGTTCATTTGAACTATTTTTTTGGTTCATTTGAGCTATTTTTTTTGTCCATTTAAACTATTTTTTGTCCATTTAAACTATTTTTTTGTCCATTTAAACTAATTTTTTGTTCATTTGAACTATTTTTTGTTCATTTGAACTATTTTTTTTGTCCATTTGAACTATTTTTATGTTCATTTGAACTATTTTTTTGTTCATTTGAACTATTTTTTTATTCATTTGAACTATTTTTTTATTCTTTGAACTATTTTTTTTTCATTTGAACTATTTTTATGTTCATTAGAACTATTTTTTGTTTATTTCATTGATAATATTTTAATAGTTCAAATGAAAATAGTTCAAATGAACTAAAAAATAGTTCAAATGAACTAAAAAATAGTTCAAATGAGCAATATATTTACTCGTTTGAACTATTGTTCATTTAAACTACTCACGTGGTCCCACGTGCAGTAGTTGAAATGAACAATAGTTCAAACGGCAGTAGTCCAAATAAGATAGCATCCTGGAGTCTGTGTAATATTTAAACAAAATATTCTGAATATACATTTCATATTTATGACCCCCCTCCCTCTAATTACGCCCACGTAAATTGAACAAAAATAACAATATAATTAATCATCCATTTTTTTCTATATTTTTTACCTCCGGTGGTTGTCTAGCTTGAACTTCTTGCTTTAAGTCTCTACAAATAGAACATAATGCAGTTAAAAAAAATATTTTTAACTTCTACGGTTGTCATCACATATATCAATACAATGAAAACGACTTTCGATATCTTTGAATTATATCAAGCTGTTAAACGGGGTACACAAGGATAAGCTGTCTTTTAAAAAAGTTTCTCTTTAATTACTTGTAAGTGCTGTAAATTTGTAATTCGAAAAAAGCTAGTTAACAATCAAAACTTAAATACAAAAGTCTTCTTCATTGTATTGGTTTAATCGCCTCCCACTGTAGTATGTCAACATGTAAATTTCCTATGCTCTCATTTGCGTACGTAAAATCAAAACCATAGGAGAACACATATTCTTACCAGTAATATCGCATAAATTGAACCGTCCCTTATTTTTCTAGTGGAGTGTGTGCGACACACTTAATATTTCTTGATTAAACTAGAGCATGATAGGTCGTCTTCTTGAGTGCATTTTTTAAGTATCTTTAGTATCGGAAAACTATGGAAATTTTTTTTAACTAAATATTTTAAAATTATTTGGGAAAAATTATTTGAATGTCGTCTTCCTTTCAAATCATCAAACAATTTATATTTACTCGAGACATAGATAATTTTAATGTGTTTTCAAATCAAAATACATTAATAGATATAAAAAAATGTCATAACATTGCTTTTTATGTGTTGCATTGTGTTGAAATGGTGAAAACTTTAGTTTAGTCCACCACATGCAGGAGTCCGCTCCATGCATGACACCATGTCGTAAAGTGAACGCAGGTGTTAAAAAATTGCACGTCCCTTCCTGCGGAAAAGGGAACTTTTCTGTTGCAGAGAGCATCTTAGTGACAATTCTGAAACATCTGAATTTTCTTGATTTTTTTTCCTGGGTCCACTCCAGTGCAGTGCTTAAATAGAAGGCATCATTGGTAAAGGTATACAATACAGGGATGTACCCGGCGCAAATATCATGAACGCTTGCACTCTCTTCACAGCCGAGAAAATCGTTGCTGCAAATAAAAAAAAATGTTTTTGGATAAACAAAGAAACACAAAAAAAAATTTGTTTTCATTTTCTTTGTAAATTTTAAAGAGGTTTCAATCTGGTTTGCAAATACCAACGCACCATTTATATTGTATATTTAGCTCAAAATCCGGCAATAACCATATGTTAGGAATCAAGTCACATAAGAAGAAAGAACAATAAATACTCTTGTAGTGAAATCCCTTGTCTCGTGTTTGCCAGCGTACCCTGTATTTCCAGTTTGGTTGGTTAACAGAGGACACTATATAATATATATATATATATATACGTGTAAACTTTAACCTCTCAAGGAGGAAAACATGGATGTTTTGGCGGCCCATGCCATTGTTAGTGTCAATTGAAGCAAAACAAGGAGGTTTGGGTGGCCTATGCCGTGGTTCGAGTCAAGGAGAAAAACATGGAGATTTTAGAGGCCCATGTCGTGGTTTGGGTAAAGGAGAAAAACCTGGAGGTTTGGGCGGTCATGCAGTGGTTTAAGTCAAGGAGCAAAACATGGAAATTTAGGCGGCTGATGCAGTGGTTTATGTCAAAGAGCAAAACATGGAAGTTTAGGCGGCTGATGCAGTGGTTTAAGTCAAGGAGCAAAACATGGAGATTTTAGCGGCCCATGTCGTGGTTTGAGTAAAGGAGCAAAACATGGAGGTTTGGGCGGTCATGCAGTGGTTTAAGTCAAGGAGCAAAACATGGAAATTTAGGCGGCTGATGCAGTGGTTTAAGTCAAGAAGCAAAACATGGAGATTTTAGCGGCCCATGTCGTGGTTTGAGTAAAGGAGCAAAACATGGAGGTTTGAGCAAAATATTGTTAGGTTGGCCAATGTTCTAGTTATAGAGCAAACCAATCAGGGAGAGTCAAGCAGGAATATCTTACTTGCATATTCATTTAATTCTGGCCTTTGTTTAAACGGTGCCAAAACATTGCGATTTCGGGCCCAAGGCAAACTTAAGAACATTTTGTTCAGCTTTTAGAAATATACTTTCGTTCCATCGATCGAATTACGAATAAAACAAACGTTGTTAATTTAATTAACTAACCACTACTGCACTTCTAACAGTGTATCTCTGAAACCCAGCTAGTTTACAAACCACAGAAATATGCAAACACAAATACAAGAGGTATGAAGCACAGGGTGTCCCATGAAACATGACAGTTGAGAGATATTAGACTGCAGTGATCCAAAGCTATCCCGCAAATATTGTTGAGAATTTTGCCATTTGCGTCATAAAAACTAAAACTGAAAACCAGTGCTTGAACATTCAGTGACATGTTGAGGGCTACACAAAAGTACGAGTGAGTTAGTAAGGTAAACTTAAAGGCCAAGGCGTTGTGACACTTCAAAGTCGACCCAGTCTTGAAAATTTATCCAACTTTTCATAGCAGTGATAATGTGGTGCAAGTAGGTTAATATTATTAGAAGAGATGAAACAAGGCTTTTTTTGAACGGTTTGCATGAAGATATGTTAAGCAGAACTTAATAATTAAGCAGGTTTTTAGGCCTTGTTTTTCACTATATTCCTTCCTCTACCCTTGTTGAAACTGTGAAAGGACTAGCTACAGGCCGGGTGGCCCAACAAATATGACATTTAAGAGAAAATTTTAACATCGTCTTTGATCGTTGTTATCAATCTAATGACAAAGTGTGTATTAAAAAAAGGTTGCACGTGCTTATACAATAATTTTTTGGTTACAACATTTGTATCTTAAAAAAACATCGAATATTAATAAAATTTTGGATTTGTTACATAAATTGAAATCTGAACAAGATTTTGAAAGCAAAAATAGGCAGACCACATTTTGGAATGCCTTCAGGACTAGGGTTTTCTTAATATTATCATTATCATACTTAGAAAGGGTCAAATTGAGACTGTCCCAATATATTTTGAGAGGACAACATTTGATTCTCTATCTTAATGTGTAGTTGGATACCATGTATTATAGGATTATGATGTAGATATCCACCTTATAGTATGAGTAAGATTTAGTGTGAGAACCAACCGTCCACCGTCACCTAATCTCACCTGGAGACAAGAATTATATACAAATTCCAACTAGATGATAAGATTTGTATTCTAATCCAACCTAAAGATATGTTTTTTTATCATAGATTAATAACAACAGAGATTGAACACTAGATGTCGTCCTTTCAAGAATTAGGGGTTTTTTGTTTACAATAACCCTACGTTGTTATTAATCTATGTTTTTTATATTCAAACCCAACCTAAACTAGAGATAAATGTATATTGCAACCAGGGAGTATGGAATAGAAGGGATAATTTACGCGGTTCGCCCTACCATATGTTTATACATGCTTTGCAGACGATACTTCATTTGAATAAGAAATATTTGTCTGATGTACAATTTCCGCGTATACAATAACCTATTCTGAATATTTCTTATACAAATGGAGTACCGTCTGCAAAGCATGCATAATCACATGGTAGGGCGAACCGCGTCAGTTATATTCCTTTCTCCCTGATTGAAACCCAACCTATTAATGACATATGAAAATATTAAAAGCCAACAAAATATTAATTAATTATACAAAATATTAATTAATTATATTAGATTAGATCCAAACAATTTAATCATTTATAAATAATCTAATTGAATATACCTGTATATTTCCTTTAGGCTTGGATTCGTCAATTTCTATCGGTTTAACCATGTTTCTAACAGGCTGCACAGATTCAACTCTTGATTACAGAAATCAGAAAATTCATAGATTTTTTCATTTGTTCGATATTAACCTTTGTACTGGAGAGGGAGCTCCTAGAATATTTCCTGCGCCATGAAATGGTTTCTTTGCTTCCTGTTCCAACCTATCCTGCTCCTCAGCATCCTCATTCTCCCTGGACACTTGTACAGTTGCAAAGATTTACAGTTGTACAGTTGCAAAGATTTACCATACATAACAAACCTACATACATTGCCCACACACTTTTCAGCATAGAAATCAAAGAAGCTGTACTAAAAAAGCCATGTGTCTATTATTCATAAAAATAACCCCCTCAACATAAATTCCCTGATTTTAAACCAGCTTACATCGGAGCAAAATTTGATGATAGGATTTTCATCACTTAATTTCAGTATTTTGTACTTTTGGCAAATAAAAACATTTATGGAAACCACTTCGCAAAAAAAGAAAAGAAATTAAAGTTTACTCGTATGAGGGAAACTCATTTTTAACGCTTCCAAAAAATCGTTTCAAAGTACTTCAATTAAAATAGATATTCACATAGATAAAGATAGATTGCGCATAAGACGACATTTTTCATCTTGAAAGATATAAATGTACAGAGATGTTTTAAAGATATTTCTATTATATAGATTAACTATAGGTAGGTTGTGAACATTGGCTGTTCTTATGTTATTGAGTACTTGTGGTGTACATGAGTTCTGTAGAGAGAAATTTAAGTTAGTTTATTCCTTCTCATGTCCTTCTTCAGTTCTCGTCAATATGATATATTGCTCAGTGAAATATTGTTGTTCAAATAGTTCCATTCCCGGAATTATTTTACACTCTATTATGAAATCCATTAAAACACCAAACCACCACGCTTATCATTGTAGTACACTTTGACCCCTAGTTCGCGGACTGTACAATTCTTGGTGATTTTGCGTACATAAGCTATCTATATTTATTTATTTATCTATGAGATTTACAGTTGTACAGTTGTTCAGTTTTAAAGATGTACAGTTGTACAGTTTTACAGTTGTACAGTTGTACAGTTTTACAGTTGTACAGTTGTACAGTTGTACATTTGCACATTTGCACATTTGTACAGCTGTACAGTTATACAGTAGTATATTCGAACAGTTGTACAGTTTCACAGTTGTACAGTTGTACAGTTGTATAGTTGTACAGATTTAAAGGTGTACAGTTTTACAGTTTACAGATGAACAGTTGTACACTTGTACAGTTCTACAGTTGTATAGTTGTACAGTTGTACAGTTGTACAGTTGTACTGTTGTACAGTTGTACAGTTGTACAGTTGTACAGTTTTGCAGTTGTACAGTTGTACAGTTGTACAGTTGTACAGTTGTACAGTTGTACAGTTGTACAGTTGTATAGTTTTACAGTTGTACAGTTGTACAGTTGAACAGTTGTACAGTTGTACAGTTGTACAGTTGTACAGTTGTACAGTTGTACAGTTGTACAGTTTTACAGTTTTACAGTTTTACAGTTGTACAGTTGTACAGTTAGTTGTACAGTTGTACAGTTGTACAGTTGTAAAATTGTACAGTTGTACAAGCACTAATTTAATAAATAAATAAGGTACACTGTACAGTGTACATATTACAAAAGAGAGTGCAGGAAAGTGAGATCGTATTGCATGGGACCTATAAAACTTTGGAATGACGACTGTTAGACTCAAGTTATGGTTTTAAATAATCTAATGAACATGAATCTCAACGTACGAGTGCAAATTGCACAGACTTAGCTTATTTAATAAGTTGAGCATAAAGCTATAATTAACTATTTGCTGTGAATAACAATATAGAATACACATTAGATTTATTTTATGATGTCATATATTCCACAGTTTTATGCAAACTTTTCAGGATTTAAAAAAAATAATCAAACTTCTCATAGTAAAAGGTAATCTAGTTATCTGCAGTTTAATAAAGTGAAACCCACCAAGCACCATAACTTACCTAAGCATAGCAAGAAGATATTTCTTCTGTCTCTCCATCTTAAGACACTCCATTTCCAGGCACTGTCTCTCCAGCTTCCTCTGCTCAACCAGCTCCTTCGTTCTTTTCTCCATCAACTACAATATCAAGTGCTATAATACCTCTCTATCAACTAGAATATCAAGAGGTATAATACCTCTCTATCAACTAGAATATCAAGAGGTATAATACCTCTCTATTAACTAGAATATCAAGAGGTAAAATAACAACTCTCTATTAACTATAATTTCAAGAAGTTTTGTCGATGATTACGTCGTAGAAATCGGCTAGTGGATTTTTACAGTACAGTTAGACAGGCAAGAAAATTTCTAATCTATATAAATAATAAAACAAGACATTTGAATATATGTTGCGTATAGCCGGCCAAACGGCTGGACCGATTGGGCTGAAATTTTTTGTGGACACTCACGGGTGGCCGGAGGGTGTTATAGGCTAGAAAAATTCGAATTTTTTATTTCAAATTTTTTTTTCAATTTTTTTTCCACGGGCAACGCCGGGCCCCTCAGCTAGTCTTCTATAAAATAAAGCTTTTAGCATGTGTTAGTTAATTCTACGGGATAGTTAAATATAAAAACACATCATTGTTCCTAAGATTATGGTTTTGAAAGGCTGCTGTTATGTTTATATGGTCGATGGTAGGATATTTTATTCATTCGATTCTTTAAAATATACGTTTACAATACGTTAACACAATTCAGGGGATATTAGTTCCAAAACTAACAATTGGCACATTTCTAACACCAGTGTTAGAAATGTGCCAAATCTGCAAAGATATCTTTTTTAAGAGTATATATCTTTAAATTCAATTTAGACTAATAATAAGGTGTGAGAATTAGTTTTTGATGATTCTTGATTTCATTTTCGAACATATCCCTATTTTGAAACAATTACCGGATTTCATTTTCATGTCGCGTTTTCGGAACATATCCAGGTTTTGAGATAATTACCGGAATTCATATCAATGTCAAATTTTAAGCATTTACGTAACAAAACAAGATTTTTTGTTAAGGTAAAATATAAACAAAATAGAAAATAAAAACAAACAAATCTTTTATACTTTAAAATCATTACAGCATTGAGAAATCAAAATATTAATATCAAATAAATAAATAAATAAATTTAACTAGAAATGCGGGAAACTGCAGTTTGTTTAAAATGCTTGAAAATAAATCATCGATATTCTCTAATTTAACCGATAAAATGTGGAAACTTAGATTCTAGAAGTAATTCAGACGTTAATTTAGTCTTCATAAGATAATTTTTGTTTTTAGTGATTTATTTTGTAAGTTATGAAAATGAGTTTTGTTTTGAATTGCAGATTATACTTAAAAACGGGAAAGTGGGTTTTGTCTCGAAAACGCGACAATGTTTCAAATATAAAAAGATCTCCTATTATAATGTTGATTTAAAAAAAGTTAGAAATTGGGAATTGTTATCCTCGTCATGTTAAATAAAATGTTGGTTACAGTTTTTATTATCAACTTTTACTCCGGATGGATATGGGCCGGGATCTCCAAAACCCAGTCTTTCAATTTGTGCCCATTTCTAACACTCAGTGTTAGAAATGGGCGAAATGTTAGTTTTGGAACTAATGTCCCCTGGAATTGTGCCCTTTAGCTTACTTATATACAACTAATACAATTTTAATTATTCTTTAAATTTGTATTTGCATTAGAACTTATTTTTATTCTTGTATTATGTTCTGCTTCTCCTTGACTCTAGTAACTATTTTATTTTATCATTATTTTAATATTTCAGTGTTTATCATATAATATACATCACTTAACTATAAGTGGTAAATTTTGCGTACAGATTTTTTATTCCTCTCGTGCTGCTGATGCTACATATATTCCTCTCTTGCTGCTGATGCAACATATATTCCTCTCTTGCTGCTGCTGCTACATATATTCCTCTCTTGCTGCTGATGCTACATATATTCCTCTCTTGCTGCTGCTGCTACATATATTCCTCTCGTGCTGCTGATGCTACATTTATTCCTCTCTTGCTGCTGCTGCTACATATATTCCTCTCGTGCTGCTGATGCTACATATATTCCTCTCTTGCTGCTGCTGCTACATATTCCTCTCGTGCTGCTGATGCTACATATTCCTCTCGTGCTGCTGATGCTACATATATTCCTCTCGTGCTGCTGATGCTACATATATTCCTCTTTTGCTGCTGCTGCTACATATATTCCTCTCGTGCTGCTGCTGCATATAACTCGGAAGAAAAAAACCGACGTGAGGCGTTATATTGGAGCAAAATCATACTGACAACTTCTCTATTAACTTTTCATGTTATTTTACTAGTTTGGGTACCCAGCTTTGACTGTGAATAAAACTTTTGCTATAAAAGTCAACTCATGCAATTTATAATGCTTGTGCCAAGCTAAGAACAAACACAAAGAAAAAACGACAAACAAAGATGTTTACTTTAATTATACATGTAGATAACAAATATAAGGCCCAATGTTTAAAAAAAAGATGTAGCGTAGAAAGTACTTCTCTAAAACATTATTAAATTATAATCCGTCCAAAGGAAATTAAATCCTAAAATCCTACGAAAAATAAAACCACGAATATGATCGATGATTTAGCTTGATTAGACAGACACGATGGATTTTATCACAACATTTTTTAATCGTTTCAGGACTCATAAACATCTTTAAGCTGTAAAATAGACTTAGTTGTATTCTAATTTGCATAAACCATATATTATGAGTATTTGAAACAATCCCTTTAGGCGATCTTTATAAATTAAAACTTTGGGATTTGACAATTGAAGGATCATTGGTAGGATCGTTTATCTGAGTTCTTTTTTTTAGGGTTAAAGGAATTGAGTCTTTGCCACAAACTTAAATTTTCTTATCGTTCTATCTTTGCAACCCAATGCCGTAGACCTTAGATATTTAAATCTATGAATTCTATTGGATCAAATAATATAAGTTTGAAATATCAAAGGTTTACACTACCAGGTTGCAAAGATAAAGGAATTAGCAAACTTGAGTTTGTGGCAAGAACTCTATTTTTTTTAGGTTTAAGATTACTTGCTGGATTTAATAACTTGCAATTAAATTCTTCCGTCAATTCATTTTTGCAATACGCATTCATCCTCTCTTCTTCCGTTCATTCAGTTTAAATCTAGTTTTTGCAACGATCTAATTTGCAGATGTATATTTGAGCAAACTTTAGGAAAAATCCACCCAGTAATTTGCAAATTTAAATTTGTATTAAACCGGTTCACGAGTCGTACTTTAGGCATACAAAGCAATTTTTTCTCGGATCAGATAACAGCGATTAAATTAGAATAATGTACTACTGCATCTCCCTTAATCTTTTTCATGCATTTTTCCTACTCCGCAGAGTTCAGAAAAAAGGTTTTACCGTTAAAAAATATGTGAAAAAAGTAAAATCTTTCTTTTATTTTGAAATTTTGAAATCTAAACTCTGTCACCTTTACAGGGAAGGGGAATAAACCTCCGTAGCCCCCCCCCCCCCAATATTTGCCCCGAGTCAGCAAATATTATCTTTTTTCTTCTTTGTCATCCTTTCGTTTCTTTATGTTTCAATAGTTATGTTGTTAACCTTTTAAATCCTTATTTCAAAATAGAATTTGATCGTTTATCCTTAAATTTTGTAAATATATTATTCAATTGAAATTTTGGGTTTCTTAAAAAATGCCATTTTTAAACCCACGCAAATATCGAAGAAGAGGGGGATAAATTGTTAACCAAAGTTTGATAAGTTTAGCTTACCTCTAATTTTTTAACTTGTTCCATCAAAAACTCAGTTTCCTCATCACCATTTCCCGCCATCTTAGTTTCTATCTATCGCATACAAAATACGCAAATATAATATACGCAATTGAAAATAGAAGATATATTTCCAAATCACATTTCAAAGGAATTGAACACTAGCTGCAAACTCTAATTTTTATATAAACCGTATAATCTTTGCAACCTTATGTGGTAGACCTTTGAATTCTGATCAACTAGTGAAAGTTTACACCAACATGCTGCAAATTAATAGATATAAGAAAAATTGAGTTTGTGGACAGTAACCAGTTACTTCCTTTAAAAAGTATTATAAACATAAAGGAATTGAGTCTTTGCAACAAAATAAAATTTTCTAATTCCTATATCCTTGCAATCTCATGGTAAAAACCTTTCATATTTCAAACTTAGATTTTGTGATCATACATAATTCATAGTTTAAAATATCTAAGGTCCGCGACATTAAGTTGTAAAGATATAGGGATTACAAAATCAGAGTTTGTGGCAAAGACTCAATTCCTTTGTCTACCACCGGGAGACGAATTCATAGGCTGGTACAAATACGACATTTATGCACTATCAAAGGCAGTCAAGTGTTTTAATTAAGATTTTTAGTAAATCTGGTATAATCCAAATATTTCAAGAAAATCATAGAATAACAAAAAAGTTTTAATAAGAAGACAATTTATACAGTTTGAACTAATTCAAACTAGTTTTTAACTTCAAATCTCAAATATTGTCACTCCAGGTTTTTAAATCTCGGTAATTTTGCTGAAATCAAATCTAGTTGATCTAGGATGATATTAGGAGAGTCGAGACTAAGAGAAAATCAGCTGAAACTTGGCAACTTGTCAAATATATTATATTTATATTTCAAAAAAAAGTAACTATTTGAAGAGAAATTTCCCATGCAATGTAATGTAAATGTTGTTAAAATCTCGCTGCATGATTTAATAGTTCGGTCCGAGGCCCAGTTTACTTACACTTTCGATCACAATTTGACCAACTAAAGGGACTGTAAGCGTAATTTAAATCGACACTACGTGCAAAGATTCAAAACGTTACCGTTGAGCCTTGAAACCTTGATCTAATCAATAATGCGGTAAATATTGTAGTTTTTCTAGGTTTAAAAGAGAAACTGCACAATCGAAATCATTAGTTTTGTTAGTTATAAACAATGATGGAACCGTTGTAAATCGGGGATTGACATCTTCGCAATAAGGGTCACATGAAATTATGCTTACAGTCCCTTTAAACATACATTGTTCGCTTTTTATTCTTAAAAAAGTACAAACAGAAAACTCTTTAAGTTCAAAGATTGTAGAACTGTCGAGGTCAAAACGCGAATAAATCCAAGAAACCAAACGCATCATAGCTCTCGATCGTTAATCCAGGGGGAAATGGGTTATGTCGTAATAAGTACATAATAGATTATAATCTGGTCTTTCATTCTCTATTGAGCAATTTAATATTCACATTGCACAACTCTGCAGGAAAATCTATTAGCTGTTTTCCAAAGCTCCGTTAAACTTTAAACTATAATTGAGTTTAAGTCTTGATATACAGGGCTACAGCAAAGTACACACGCGCTGATAAGTGGAAAACCGAGGATTTCAAAGTTAGCCCGGTCTCAGTAATTGGAGCATAGCAAAACAAATGTATCTATATATATAGATGTAATCTCTATTGGTGTTTTTGTATGTTCGATCATATCTCATGAACCCCTGGACCGATTTGCCTCAAAATTTGATTGGAGAATTCGTGAGAACCACGGAAATATTCTTAGCTTGGTTTTGAGATTCTAATGTAGTTGGGTCGGTTTTATAGGGAAAAATAACTAAAATCGTAATTTACGACCAAGCGCGGGTAAACGACGGGAGTAACTATCAGTACCCTCGTCAATGATAGTTTCTTAAGCTATATATTGTATAAGTTCATCAAGAAAGATAATTTGATATCATTTAAAGTAAAAAAGAAAAGATGATATTTTTAGAACACAAGCATGAAACCTCCATGCATCTCTCCCTCTCTAGATGTCTCCCTCCTCCCCCTCCCTAGCTATGACTAATCCTGTATTGTGAACTGGTGCATGTAAGCCGAAAATAAAAGAACCTTAAAATATGAAGTTGCTTAACAACTAATCTGTTCAAGAACATATTTAATTTGACATTTTGAAATCGTACTTTGTTGCATTTAACCGGGTATGCATGCTCATAAACGTTGATTGAACGTATACTCAGAAAAACTTTATTTCTAGAGAAGAGAACCCAACCCATCCCCTCATTCTACCCCTTCCAAGCCAACCCCAGCCTGCTCTCTCCAACCTATAGGCCTGTCTGCCCCACCCAACCAACCCTGCTTGCTTCTCATGCATTCATTCATGATTTTGTTTAAGTCTACTCTACTCCAACCCGCAGTTGTATAACGGAGCAATATCTGGCAGCCAGACTGACGCTCNTGGCACATAGCAGAACTATTTAGTCTAGCATGCATATAAATATACAAATAAAGATGATAGGGACGAGGCACATAGCAGAACTATTTAGCCTAGCATACATATAAATATACAAATAAAGATGATAGGGACGAGGCACATAGCAGAATTTTTTAGTCTAGCATACATATAAATATACAAATAAAGATGATAGGGACGAGGCACTTAGTAGAACTATTTAGCCTAACATACATATAAATATACAAATAAAAATGATAGGTAGATTTTCAAAGAAAAAAATTTGAGTTTAGTTTTACGAAACATTTCTAACAGTGTCAATAAAGTAAAAATTAATAATGAAGGTTTTCACAAATGTTAAAATTAATTTTTGAAGGTTAGAGCCTGGGTTTCCCCTGAGTAAACCTAGCGTAAAAAGATCCATCGCTACGGCCTGGGATCCCACTATACTCGGTCACTATTCAAGGTTACACACTGGTTCTGCTACACTAGGCTCAGGGGGTCTAGGGTTTAGAAATACAAATTTTTCAAATATTTTTCTATAAAAACTTTTTTCATCGCTATCAATATATTTTCGCTGCAGTTGTAGTGCCCTTACTACTATAATTTCTAATTCGGTTCAAACATTTTGTTTTATATTAAACTCAGTGTTGATGAAAATTACTTTCCAAAAACAACACTGTATTTTATACAAATGGTACAAATTTCCAAAGGAATTGAGTCTTTTAAACAAACTTTGATGTTCTAATCCTTATATTTTTTCATCCCAAAGTTGCAGACCTTTAATATTTCAAATTATGAATTATATTAGATTAAATAATCCAAGTTTGAAATATTAAAAGTTTACACCATCCGGTTGTAGAGATATAGGGATTAGAAAATATGAGTTTGTTGCAAAAACTCAGTTCCTTTGTGCATAGGATAAATTTTTGAAAAATTAATCTACAAATGCCTTCCCCTGTCTCTACTACGAGGCGCCGCGGCGCTAGTCCCCGATCTACGAGTAAAATACAGATTACAAAATACAGACAGTTTGAAAAAACACGTGTGAGCAGTTTGATTGAAACCAGCGTACCAGTCTCCGCCAGAACAGTTGGTCCGGTGCGGTATCGCTATTTTAGAGAAAAGTTTTACAGATTTTCTTCTCAGAAAACGAGAGAAGGATTCGGAAAGTTTCTCTAAGCTAAGAAACTAAAAGGCTCAACAAATATCTTCTTGGTTAGTGAAAAGGTAAAAGATTAGGATTTAGAACTTAGCAAATTTTGATTTTTGCATGTGTTGGTATTGCAGCAGTTGATATTGCATGAATAATAATAATATTCATATTTTAGGATCCTAAATATTTTAAAAGTTTTAAACAAATTCTATTTGATAATACTCTTTTTAGAGCCAAGTCCAGCGCTTTAAGTTTTTTCAAAATTCCAAATTTTTCCATTACATATTTACATATTTTTTTATATATATATATTACATATATTTTTTTTGCGACTTTTACCCACATTCTTAAAAGCCAATGAAATGAACATAATAGATGTTTTTATCTTATTTGCATCAAAATTTTTTCAGGTTCTTTAGACATGATTGCATATCTACATTTATAATTTCAGCATGTCAATTTTTGGTGTTGTTAAAATTCGTTTCCATAAAGAAACAAATGTTTATTTCCATCTTTTATCCTTTTATCTGTGAATTGTTGAAAATCTGACAGAACAATTAATAATAAAGTTAGGATTGTGTCAAACATATGTTTTGTAAACCAGGAGTTTTTTTTACAGTTTTTTTATTGTTCAATTAGGAAGTGTTGATGGCGTATCTATATAATTATAGGGATTTACATCGTTCTGAGGTTTGAACATGTTTTTTAATTTTCAAAATAAGAAGAAAAATCTAGATATAGTTGTACGATGATTTTAAAAAGCTTTATTTTAAAATAATAGTAATGATAATGATAATAATATTAATAATAATAATAATAATAATAATAATAATAATAATAATAATAACAATTATCTTATTCTTAATTATACAACAAGTGCTAAAACAAAATACAACATTTTTGGATTAAAAAATTGTTAGAATCAAAGTTAAGATATTGGAATAAAAATTACCGCAAGTTTGGATGTACTGTACAAATTATTTGGTTCTAAAGAACAAAGTACAAATTATTCGATTCCAAAGTACAAATATTTGATGTAAATTAAAGGTATCAAAACAAGCTTCTTCAACCTGTCATCATCTTTTCAAATATTTAAATAAAAACTTGAACATTTTAATTTCATGTATTTATCGTCTCCAAACTTAGATACATAGAAACAAATTTGAAAATTAAATTCACTATAGCGGGTGAACCACTTATTGTGGAAAGCATCTAAACAATCATGTTTCTTTCAAAAATGTTGATTTGACATCTTTCAACTCAGAACTTCGGCTTTGCTTAAAAAATTATTTTAAATTAAAAAATGAAAGAAAATAAATTTTTGTTTTAATTACGGTGTTTAACCAATAGAAATCAAGGGAATGGATTAGTTGTGTTAAACTGTTAAAATCTAACAGACCAGGTACACGTGGTCTGCTGCGCTCCTCTTTTTATCTTTAAACTGTCAGAAACCGCGGCAACACACTGACGTCATATTTCATTCATGCTTTCATAGGTTCATAATTTCGTCTTCTAGAGTTCATAGTTTCATAGTTTCATCTTCTAGAGTTCATAGTTTCATAGTTTCATATTCTAGAGGTCATAGTTTCATCTTCTCGAGTTAATAGTTTCACAGTTTCATTTTTTAGGGTTCATAGTTTCATCTTCTAGTGCTCATAGTTTCATCTTCTAGAGTTAATAGTTTCACAGTTTCATTTTCCAGAATTCATAGTTTCATCTTCTAGGGTTCATAGTTTCATCTTCTAGGGTTAATAGTTTCACAGTCTCATTTTCTAGAGTTCATAGTTTCATCTTCTAGAGTTAATAGTTTCACAGTTTCATTTTCTAGAGTTCATAGTTTCATCTTCTAGGGTTCATAGTTTTTTAGTTTAATTTGGTAAATTAAACATATTATCTAAATAATAAAAGAAGGAACCGTGTTTCTGTTATAATATTATTTAATGAAATATTTTTAAAGAAGATCATCTGTTATTGGTGACAGGAGTGGAAATATTATTTCATCTAAAAGAGAACATTACAATTATATTAAACATATTTATTTTAAAAAGAATATATCTTATGGTTTTGTTTAAAGTACAGACGTATTCTGCCCCTAGCTAAATACTCAACACGACCAACAAATTAAAGGTTACTTTGTTCAGACTTAAGAACCGTATCTTATCAAGGGTTCTCAATCCACCCTAGGCAAACAGTTCCTCAAATCCTCTAATCTTCAAATCCAGACTCAAATCAAAAAACCTCTTTTTCAAATCAAGCTTTTAACCTTTCCCAGGCCATCAAAGGATAAAAACTGTATCTTGGGTTTGATCTAAAAAATCTTGATTGATTATTTAATAGTTCTTTGCTATTACCTAAGTTCCGAAATATGTCACTTTAATTTGATGATTTTAGTGACATAGGCCTTAGGATAGTTATTTTTGTGTTGAATAAAGATCTGTTCAATTTGGATCACAAATTAATTTCTCCAGATTCGAAAGGCAGATTTTTAAATTTGATGTAATAATATTTTTTGTTTCTTCCAAATCCTTCTGATATAAATCTGTAAATGTAGAATTTTTCTCCAGGGCTGTCATCATAGGATAAGAATTAAATATTTTGTTATCTATAAAATACATTGAAATAGGATAATCTTTAAGAGACAGTTTTTGAATTTTCTGAACTGAAAAAAACCTTGATTTTGACAAGAATTAGCACTTTCTTGCACCGTACAGATATCTAACCTCACACTTTCTTGCACCGTACAGATCTCTACCCTCACACTTTCTCGTACCGTACAGATCTCTAACCTCACACTTTCTTGCACCGTACAGATCTCTAACCTCACACTTTCTTGCACCGTACAGATCTCTAACCTCACACTTTCTTGCACCGTACAGATCTCTGAACTCACACTTTCTTGCACCGTACAGTTCTCTAACCTCATACTTTCTTGCACCGTACAGATCTCTAACCTCGCACTTTCTTGCGCCGTACAGATCTCTACCCTCACACTTTCTTGCACCGTACAGATCTCTGAACTCACACTTTCTTGCACCGTACAGTTCTCTAACCTCATACTTTCTTGCACCGTACAGATCTCTAACCTCGCACTTTCTTGCGCCGTACAGATCTCTACCCTCACACTTTCTTGCACCGTACAGATCTCTACCCTCGCACTTTCTTGCACCGTACAGATCTCTACCCTCACACTTTTTGTTAGGCTTGTGATTTAAATTTTAAAATATTGAATTATTAACAATAACGACAAAACATTATTTTTAGTTAAACTTTCTTTTAAAATTAATTTTTTATAGGTTTCCAATCTTGATAAATTAAACTTAATAAATTAAATAATTTTTATCCAAGAAACTTTGTGATTAAATAATCATCTGTCATTTTCCAATAGTTTTCAAACAAGATAAGTTTTTTTATAAGTTTTAATTTGCATTTGTTTACAATATATTTCAAAAAAAATTTTACCCAAAATATTTGCAAAATTATTAGGAATGTTTCGTAAAAAACGATCATCTCAGTTTTTTTCAGCTCCTCCGGCAGGTGTCCTGGCCGGGATTTTATGCTAAATGCCAAATATAAAATCTTGGTTTTGTACTTTGCATGCTTGGTTCAGCTTGAGGATATAAAGATATGTTTTGATTTTAATAAAATATATTCTGAAAGGTATTGAGTTTTTGGCGCAAACTCTGATTTTCTAATCAACATATTTTTGCAACTTGATGTTGTAGACCTTTGATATTTCAAAATATAAATTCTGTTGATCAAATAGTCAATGGTTTACACTATCAAATAGTTAATGGTTTACACTATCAAATAGTTAATGGTTTACACTATCAAATAGTCAATGGTTTACACTATCAAATGTTGCAAAGAAATAAGAATTAGAAAATAAGAGTTTGTGGCAAAAATGGATTCCTTTTATTTGAGCCAAATAAAAAGAGCAACAAAACTAACATTTTGCAAAAACAAAAAACATTTATGTTTGCATCTCTATGCATGCAGAAATATAGAAAACCTCATCATTGGCATTTTCCTATTGCAGTCAGAATACAAAAATATGCAAAGAATTGAGTCCTTGCCACAAACTCAAATTATTTAATCTTTATGTCTTTGCAGCTTGGTTGGTGTAACTGTACACCTTGATGGTGTACACCTTTAATATTTCAAACTTAAATTATTAAATTTAACAGAATTCATAATTTGAAATATCTAGGGCCTTGGGTTGCAAAGATATAGAGGTAAGATATTCAGGGTTTGTAGCAAAAACTCAATTCCTCACCCCAAAATGGGAAAAAAATTTGTAAACTGTCCCGAAAATCTTGATATTGCGATGATAAGATTTTTGAATTTTCATATTGGAAATGTTTCAAAATTGCAAGTTGTCAATATATATTCTAATTCATACTACCACTGGTAGCATGTAGCTCATAAACGTATACAGGGGTGGGGGGGTAGTGATTGATAACGAGTTTTATGGTTCACCCTGTAAATTGTACAAAAGCAATATTTAACTGACAAGGAACCGGTTTTTAAAAGATCTATATGCCGGGGATAGGTTGTATATAATAGGCCTGGTTTTAAGCCGAAACCCGCGAAAAGACCCACGTGGGGACCAAAGCCATTAAACTTTGCTTGGGGGCAGGTTTTATTGTCAGCTGTACCAACGCCATTCAGCCAAACCCATGTTTTGCAACCTTTTTATAACTCTAAATTCGAACAAGTATAAAGTGCACTGGTTAAAAGCTCATTTTTCATTCATTTTTCATCTAAAATATTATCTTCAGTTAATTTAAATGTTCCTGTCAATTACAGGGTGTCCCACATCATATTAGACCGAGAACGGGTCTAAATTACGATTTTCGGGACTAATCAGAAAATTTAATTAGAATTTATCATTTTGAAAAATAATATAAGGCTTATATAAGAATTTTCTTGCGGAAAATGATAAGTTTTTCGAGTATTAAAGATTTATTTTGTCGTTAAAGATTGAAGATAATCTAATATGATATGGGACGCTCTGTATATTCTGAATATCAAATACCAAGATCTTTATTCTTGTTTCATAGTCTAGGCCCTGTCA